AAATAAATGTTAAAATTCTCTCTCTCTCTCTCTGTCCCCCTCTCTCTCTCACTCTCTCTTTAAAAAAAATAAATAAATAAATAAAATAAAAATATTTTTTCAAGTGGTCCATTTCATTTTTATAGTTAGGTAAAAGAGCAACCCAGTTACCCTAAGATATTTTCCAGTATAAAGAGTACTTAGAAACTTAATAATGCCAGTGGATTTTCATTCTTTTTCTTCTTCATCCCCTTCTTTTAAAAATAAAGACTTTGTTAATATCCTCCTTTAGTACTGTATCTGGAAATGATCTTGAAATGTAAACTTCTCAGATATGAAGCAACATAACCCTAAGCTGCCAAATTATTTTTTTTAAAGTGTCCATCAATAGGAAAGAAAACAAATCATCTTAATCTGTAGCAAGGATATAAATTGAAGAGCCCAGGGTTGAATATTTAGGATAGAGTCATCATGGAATGGTTTATATGGGGAGAGAAATGTTTCAAAGCATGTAAAATTAGCATCAGATAATTTTCTCATTGGATAAAAATTAGAGCTCTCAAAAGTAGGAGCTAGCCAAAGGCAGCCACAATGATAATGAGCATAGGGCCCTATGTATATTTTTGTTTCAATTGTTATTCATATAACATAATCAGCTGTGGTATAAAAGTGTTAAAAATTAAATTATCTTGTAAAGCAAGGATCATGTTTCATTAATTTTTGTTTCTCCTACTCTTGAGTACATGTTTAGTAATAGGAAACAGGTAAGTATTAAATCAAATTACTAATTCTTTTATTAATTCTTCCTAACAGACTGGATTATGGACAGAACTTGGAAAGATTGAGAATAATTTCTTAAAGCCACTTCATACAGGACTTAATATGTCAAAAGCACATTATGAAGCAGAAATTAAAAATAGCCAAGAAAACAGCCAAGGTTAGTAATATGCAATTTTATTTTCATTAAGTTTCTCAAATTCTGGAACTACCAAACTCAAAAAGAACACTTTTTTGTACATTAACTTATGCCAAACAAGGGACCACAACAGCTGTGATTTTATTTTTAATTAAAATGATTCTTAGTTGATCTGTAGTAAGCCAATTGCTATTGAAATTGGGTTAGTGAAAATTTAAACCAAATTGAAGCATATTTTGTTTTAAAGCTCAAGTTCTGATTTAGTGTGGTTGTACTACAAGTATTACCCTTTGAGTGCTATCATACTTTATTCTATATTGCTAGGTCAGTTCCCCCATCTCACTCCTGAGTAAATCTGAACAAATTATGAGAAAGAATCTTAGATCCAAAATTACTTTGTCAGAAATTCTGCTATAATAATCTTGTGATCTCTTCCATATATCTATGGTGATATTTTTAGAGGCATTACTAGAAATTTTCTCTTTTTCAGGTTTATAATGACTATAATTCAGATTATACTCTAAAGAAAAGTTCATCCTATAGATGACAAAATAATGTTTAAAGCATTAATTCACGTTACAGAATTGATACTTTTACTTGCTTATAACTCTACAAATATTCTTAGAGCTGATGTTAAGATTCAATAATTTACACAAATAACTTGCACATTTTTTAATGATGAAGGTAGCTTATAAATGTATTATTAAAATCTGAGAGTTGTTTTACTTATTTATTTTTTGGGGGGTACTGAGGATTGAACCCAGGCCCAGGGAAGCTTTACCACTGAGCTACATCCCCTGCCCTTTTTATTTTAATTTTGAGACCAGGCCTTACAAAGTTGCTGAGGCTGTCCTGAAATTTGCAATCCTCCTGCCTCAGCCTCTTGAGTTGCTAAGAATACAGGCGTGCACCATTGCACCTAGCTCTTGAAAGTTATTTTAATGGCTAAGTATGACATGAGGGTTTTTTTTTTCCTTTCTCTTACAGCAGTCCAAAAGTCTAAGGATCTTTGTTCTGTAACTGTCGGTGGAGAAGAGATCCCTAATATGCCCCCTGAAATGCAACTTAAGGTGATTTGAAAATTTTTAAAGCTATATATAGAGATGAAATCTTTTGTTTTGTTGTAAAGGCAGCATGAGCAACACTAATTTTCTTGGCATTACAGGTCCTACATTCAGCTCTTTTCACGTTTGATTTGATTGAAAGCGTTCTGGCTCGAGTAGAAGAACTCATTGAAATAAAAACAAAGTCTACCTCTGAAGAAAATGTTGGGATAAAGTAAAAGTGTTACTTTCTAAATAAAAACTAATAAAGTACATTATACTTTATTTAATACCTTTTATAAAAACAGTTTTACTAGAAAAAATATTAGCTTTTCTCAGTTGTCTGTTTCTATAATGACACATTATAGATTAGTATTCTTTGGTTTTAAAAAATCAAAATATTGCTTTTGAAAATCCAATACAAACTAATAATTTTGTTGTACATTTCATAAAATGTTAAAATGCTTTATTCATTTATGTAGGGAGTTTGTAAAAACAGATTTACTTTCTGCTTAGTAGGTGTCTGTAACATTTAGAACTCCTAGTGTCAAGTTGGATACCATACCACTGTAAAAGTGTAGTAAGAAATTTTGAGTTCAGAACATTTGATTGTTTCTCTTAGTTTCCCTCTTTCCGGGCTCAGAAGCAGTCTTAAGGAAGAGTTCCATCACCAACTCTCTAGCAGTTACAGTGTGAAAGCACCTGCAAAGATTAATTTTAGAATAACAGTTGCCCTTGTGAAAAACCTAAAAAATATACACAAATCTTCCTTTAGTCCAAGGAGCTAATTAGAAAAACCTATATTTTTCCTACATGTTTGCACATACAACTTAATTTGTATTATTAAGAAATTGTATGGGTTTTGTTTTTGTTTTGTGGTTCAACCCAAGGCCTTGTACATGGTAGGAAAGTGCTCTACCACTGACCCAGCCCCATAAGTTTTATAAGTATGTACCAATGACTTTCTATACAATAATTAAAGGAATCATTCAACAAAACTCCTAAAGTAAAATTACTTTTAATTGTATACATGTTATTATTTTAAATCAATATAAACATCTTTAAAGAATATATTTCAACATTATAATTTAACAGGTAAAATTTTTGTGATAGTCTTCCAAAATGACCTTACAATTGGTACTTTAATTTGGGTTAATTGCATCTCCACCCAGTTTTATCTTTTGAAGCATTTTCCAAACAGGACTTTGTTCTATGATGTAAGCTTTAGTTGTTATCATTCTATAGCAGATGCTATCTATGTATGGTTTGGAGGTAGTCTGGAAGAAGATATAAACATGCAGCATTACTTACAGAAACCCAGCTATCTTTTTCAGTCACATAAAATACCTAAATGTAATTCATTCAGCAAGTATCTCTGAATCACCTATAATTTAAAAAATATATGTGTTATTAGAGTAATAGGAAAAATACCTGATTTCCATCTTCAGCAAATTTCAAATATAGCTGAAAAGCAGAATAAGATAGGGGATACATTCCAAATTTAAGACTAAGGAAGACCTGGGCTGGGGCTGGGGCTGGGGCTCAGTGGTAGTCCACTTGCCTGGAATGTGAAGGCACTGGATTTGATTTTCAGCACTACATATAAATAAATAAAATAAAGACCTATCAACAACTAAAAAAATATATTTAAAAGAAAAAAAAAAAAGGAAGACTTAACTTTGCCTAAGGGAGTTCTGTGTATCTGGGTACACATACGAAAAGAAAGTGGGCAACTATGAAAACATTCCATAAAACAATGTTTGTATTCAATTCATGACTGCAATCTAGGCAGTATATATATTTCAAAGTTTGAAGGAAGATGTGATATATATACAGCTAAATGTTCTTTTGATCCAAACATTCACAAATGGATAGTAGCTACCACAAAAGATGAGGAGAAGCTGAGTTCAGGCTTGGGAAAGAGCTTTAAGCACGAAATAGCAAATTCTCTGAGTAAATAGAAGCTGAGTAGTTGTCAATCCTGCTTAAAAGGGCGTGCAATTTGAAGTTAAAAACCTAAAAGTATACTAGTATTTGTATGTAAACATGTCTTCTTTCCCATGTGACTTACCTTGGCAATAGTGCACATAAGAGTAATAGCATTTGCTGTGTTGTGTACTGGAAGTATCCGTAAGTTACTTCCCAGGAATCTGGAAAAAAAAAAAAATGGTATTTTACAGAGATCATATAACTTACTGGCATTTGCTCTCTTAAACAGGTGTAAAGAGGACATGAATCTCAATTGTAAAGTGTTTATTCATTATGTGTTTATTTCCAACTAATGCCATGGGATTTGAAGTGGCAATATACCCAGAATTTAACTTAATTTAAAAAGGGCTCACTTTTGGTTTAGTCTTGCAGAAGAAGCCCAGAAGTCCTTCCCAAAGCCCATAAGTCTTTCACCAAAAGAGCCCATAAAGTTTATCTTGTAGCAAAACAAAACTCAGGCCTCCCTTTAAGAATTGCTAACTGAAGTAAACAATACAGTGTAAAAAAGAAAAAAAAAAACAAAAAACCCTGTAGTGCTGTTTTTCATACCTCTGCTGAATCCTGAACATCAGTTTCCATTCTTCAGGCCCATGGAGGGCAGCAAACAAAACCAAAAAACTATTTTTGTGAATATTAATAAACTTCTCAATTTTGTTTATAAATATTTCTTCAGCTGACATAATGCATTCTTTAGCGTCCATTAATAAAAATGCAACTCCTAGGAAAGGTAAAAGTTCAATCTGTCATATAGAGCAAAATTTGTAAACTCAACAAAATAAAAAATAGCTATAACAAAATATCCAGACCCTAAACTCATAAGGAGTAGAAATTATAACAATTCTTAACAAAAATGATTTAGGTAGTTCTTTGAAGTACTCTAGTAAAATAATAATTTGCATAGCAGTGTTTTCCAGATAAGGCACTGTCCATATGAAGGTAATGCCTAATTTTAGTTAAAAGCTTGACTATTTTAAAAGTTAATCCTTTGTTACTTAAAAAAAATTTTTTTAAATGGCTTATTAGAATGTACATTCAAAAGATACAGGTAAGCAGCCAGATGGAAAAGACACACAGCAAAGTATCTCAGATGAGGTCTCATGGAATTTCACTGCCCTCTCTGGGCCTACCACTTTCCAGGCACCTTCATGTGTTCGGCAATTCAGAATCTCTTATTTATTTTTAAGATTTTTTTTTAAGTTGTTGATAGACTTCTACTTTATTTATTTCTATGCAGTGCTGAGAACCGAACCTAGTACCTCACACATGCCAGGCAAGTATGCCACCTCTGAGCCACAACCCCAGCCCTCCTGTGACTTTTAAAAGCTAGAAATCAACTAAAGAAAGGGTAGTCTTAAGCAAATATTCAATCGTTTCTTGTTGGAGAAACCTTTCTACCAGAGCTTAAGTACTTATATAAATTAATATACTCAACAGATATCTTGGATCTCTGAAATAGTATGAGGCACATAAGAATAATCCTGGGGGAAAAACTTGAATTATTGTTCTTTAAAAGATGTGGTAAAGACAATCTGCGGAAATGACTTCATGATTATATAAAAACTGGATGAGCTTGAGCAAACTTATATAACCTCTGAATATATATTTCCTCCTCTGTAACATCGGAATAATAACCCTTTGTTAGGCCTGTCAAAAGGATTAAATAACGTATACAAAGGGCAAGAACATATAGTATGTCACCAAAAACACTTCTACCTGGAGGAGACTATTCAATCAAGAGGAATGAATTTGAGACTGGAACACTTTCAGCCTGGAGGTCTTATTTTTAAGAGCCTTTGAAAGCACCAGTTTTCCAAAACCTGCTATAGTAAAGGTCTGTTTACAGCCTTCTTGATAAAATCCTTTATCTCCATCTCTTTAATCACTTCTGTTATTTCCCAAGCACAAGTGAAGCTGTCTCTTCCCATCTCTCCAACCTTTTATCCTAATTCCTGTACTTTGCCCAAGACTCATGGTTGTACAGTTTTAAGATTTCAGGAATATTTATTTGTCCCCATACAATTCTTTAATATTTACTTATAACCTATTGAGTAAATTCTCATACAAAATCATGACAAAATATCTCATTTTGGTTTTGCATTCAAATTTTGACCATTGATGCCATGTTGGCTTCTTGTTAATACAGTTCATACTTTAATATTATTGATTGATTATTGGGAGAGTGGCATTTCTATTTTCATCTTAGTTCCAAGGTATTTTTTCCCATCCTCCATCAGACTTTCTTCGTTCTTTTTTTTTTAAGAGAGAGGAGAAAGAGAATTTTTTTAATATTTATTTTTTATTTTTCAGTTTTCGGTGGACACATCTTTATTTTATTTTTACGTGGTGCTGAGAATCGAACCCAGCACCCCACGCATGCCAGGCGAGCGCGTTACCGCTTGAGCCACATCCCCAGCCCTCTTGGTTCTTTTTTTAAAAAAATATTTCTTTAGTTATAGGTAGACACAATGCCTTTATTTTAATTTTTTATGTGGTGCTGAGGATCAAACCCAATGCCTCACCCACACTAGGTGAGCACTCTACCACTGAGCCACAACCCCAGCCCCCTTGCTTCAGTTTTAACAACTGTAACCTAAAAAAGAATGTATTCTGTAATTGACCATCTGTGCTTCTTTGCAGCAACAACAGTTTAACACATTCACCTCTCCCTAAAGATAATATGTTAATTATTACATGACTACTGACTTGCAAAAATTATTAGAATTTATATCAAGGCAGTTAGCAAATATACTATACCAGAAAGAGAAAATATGATTGATCCATTTTCCACTGTATCTGAATACCGAATCTTGTGGCTTTGATTTTCTAGGGCAGTTGCAATTTCATAAGTCTTTAAAAGAATTTTTAGAAATACAAACTTAAAGATATGCTTACAATACTTTTATTATAGTTAATGAAAAAAATTTAAAGTTTAATACTTTATTTTATAATGTCACTTGTAAAGATTTGTTCATCAAAAGAGAAAATCTGTGCTCTATGGAGAAAAACACTTTTAAGAACAAAAATATTTAATCCTACTTAAACAATGACTGTATGTTTGGAAATGAGTTAATGTACTATAGATATGTTATTTGGGAGCAGAAATTAACAACAATACTGAAGAACTAACCCATGACAATCACAGAAATGAAAACTTTAAAAAGACTACTTGGAAATGAATTATGACATGTATTAATGTATAACTCTGGAAAATGGATGATAATGTATTTCTTAAATGGTTGACAGAACCACAAAATGCCAGAAACATAGATGACCGCACAGGAGACAACCAATTCTCCAATTCATCAGTTTTCGTTAATTATTTTAATGTACTCTTAAGAAGGCGAGTCAGAAAACATATGAAGACAACATTACTATCATCTGGCTTAAATACTATTTCAAAATTACCTCAATTCAGGACTGGGGCTGTAGTTCAGTGGCAGAGCACTTGCTTTGCACACATGTGGCACTGGGTTTGATCCTCAGTATCACATTAAAAATAAATAAAGGCATGCTATCCATCTATAACCACACACACACACACAAAAAAAAAAACAAACTATCACTTAAAAAAAAGTTACCTCATTCCCACTGTACCAAGAAATTCGATCATGTTAACCAAAATACTAAAATCCTAGCAGTTAGGGCTGGCGTTGTAGCTCAGTGGTAGATCGCTTGCCCAGCATGTGTGAGGCATGGGGTTCAATCCTCAGCAACACGTAAAAACAAATAAAATAAAGGTACTGTGTCCATCTACAAAATATATATATACTTATTTATATTTATATAAATATATATATTCATTTATTTATTTTAAAATCCTAGTGGTTAATAGTGTTTCCTAACTGGTTAAAACTCAAGCTTGTGAGTCTTCAAATAGATAAAAATATCTTAGATTAATTTTACATTTTCCTTCAGAACATGTATATTTTAAGCACACAGTCTAAAATTAAGTATAAAATATATGCTTCTCTTCCTTCCTAAGAGAGTATTTTTTGTGCTACTTATATCCTGACCTGCAGTTCAACTATGGCCCTTTCTTCTGAGGTTTTAAAACTGTACATTGCTTTTAGCAATGACAGATTAAGTAATTTAGGTCAACTCTCCTGCTGAAGGCAACTTGAAAAACTGGACAATTAAAAAAATCTGCTTGAATGCATCAGAGAGCTAGCAGGATAGTTAAAATCTATAAGGTGAAGTTCTATACAAAAATTCAAAGATATAACCCTAACATTTAGGCCACATCTTCCCTGAGGGCATCTGACAATTCAGAAAGAGGCAGAAGAAAAGCTAAACGAAGTTTTTGACAAAAGTAGAACAGCTCTCACTGGGAATGAAGCCTAACTTCAAACCATTTAAATCCCAGAAATTATATTAAGATGATACTGAATTACTAGTACTCCCAAGCACCTTCCAGAAGCATTCCCTAGAGCAACATTTCTCAGTCTTCTCTATCAGTTTTCTCTTTCTTCTTTATAGAACAAAGAAAACTATTTGAGTGACTATTTTTTTAATTCTCCCATAACTAATGCCACTCTACATGCATAGGAGATAAAGTTAATTCATCATATACAATAAGCAACTGATGGCTAGGGTTGCCAGATTTAGCAAATAAAAATGCAAAATATTGGGCTGGGGATGTGGCTCAAGTGGTAGTGCGCTCGCCTGGCATGCGTGCGGTCCAGGTTTGATCCTCAGTGCCACATACAAACAAAGATGTTGTGTCCACCAAGAACTAAAAAATAAATATTAAAAAAAATTCTCTCTCTCTCTCTTAAAAAAACGCAAAATATCCAGTTAAATTTGAATTATAAATAATTATGTAATTTTTAGTGTAGATATAACTCATGCAATATTTTGGACAAACCTACATTAAATGCATTGCTCATCTGAAATTCAAATTCTGTTTAACCTGGCAAATAAGGAATTAGTGGTTCATTCTCTCACAGAATTAAGACTTCTTTAGAGAAATCCAATATTACTTTAGGCCTCCAATTGCTTCTACAATCTTTTAAATAAAAATTCCAACACAATAAAAAATAATCAGGTCTGGGGCTGTAGCTCAGTGGTAAAGCGCTTGCCTCACTGGGTTTGATCTTCAGCACCACATAAAATAAAATAAAGATATGTGTCCATTTACAGATAAAAGATTTTTAAAAAAAATTTAAAGGTGAGAAGAGCATAGATAGAATAACAGGAAAAGGAATGCAGACTTGAAAGTATGATTCTTAACTGATGAGTATGAAAGGTACACATGAATCAGTTATTGGTAACAGTGTTAAGAATAACTTAAGGCAGATTATGAGGACCTATATATGCTATGCTGAAGAATTTGAATCATATCTTACTGGGGGGCCAACTAAAAGTGATAATAAAAAGGAAATAAGAAAGGTAAAATTAAGAAGTAATGAATTGAAATAAGTTTAAGAGCTGATATATTGGGCTGGGTGTGTAACTCAGTGGTAGAACATTTGCCTAGCATGTGCTAGACTCCAGTTTCAATCCCATTACTGGCAAAAAAAATACAGATTTTTCAAAATAAATGGGAAATTAAGATTAGATTTTCTAAAATATGTTTCACAGATTATTAATCCCATGAAATAGTCCCATAAAATGTGAAAAAAAAATGTTCCTTAGTCATAAAATTAGAAAACACGAAATATTATTTTGTCTCCTTTGGGGAGTTTCACAGTACGTTTAAACATATTAAAGCCTCTGAAGAGGAGTACAGAAAAAAAAAAAACCTTGTTCAACTTTGTTTATACCAGTATTCCAAATAAAATCCGTACAATAATCCTTCCTGAATATATAATATCTATTAATGTCCTTTAAAACTAGTATTAGGAGCTGGGGCTATAGCTCAGTGAGAGTGCTTGCCTAGCACAGGTGAGGCACTGGGTTCCATTCTCAGCACCACATTAAAAAAAGTAAATAAAATTATTAAAAAATATATTTTAAAAAACTAGTATTATATCTAGAAAATCTACTCATATGAAAGTAAATATAAATTTAAACAGAAATGAAAAAGAGCACTTAATAACTAGTAGTTCACAATAGAATTAAAAGAATGCCAATATGAAAATTTTCACCACAGAAATGGCAAATTTCATTAAGTTCAGCTTAATAAATTTAACAGCTCCTATTAAATGGGTATTTGCAAAATTATAACTTATATACTCAGAATAAAGTATAAAAACCTAGTAGAGGAAAAAAATCCACATTTTTTAAGATTATGAACACAGAAATTGAGTAAGAACCCAATTCCTCCTCCCCCCTTTTTTTAACATTGGGAATCCAACATAGGACCTTGTTTGTGACAGGTCAGTGGTCTATCACTGAATTATATCCATAGCCCAGGAAAATCCTTTAATAACTTCAGGTACAAATAATTTCCAAACTACATAAACTGTTAGGCACACAAGGAATTTGGAGTAGCAGTGAGGAGGAAAACTATCCTAATTCCTATGAAAATAACATTAAAAAGAAAACAACAGATCATCAATCTTTAGTAAATAATGATTAAAAAATAGCAAACCAAATTTCAAAAGAATAGAAGAAAAATCCACAACTACCAGTTTCTTTAATTAAGAAATGCAAAGATTAGTTATTTAGGTTCTCATCAACAGATAACACTAAGCATGTATTTTAAAAATAATGCACTTATTTCTGATTAAGAGGAAAGACAGCATAAATTAAGCTGAGATGAATATTTTTTGACAATTTGTAAAATCATATATAATAAAACACTGGAGATATTCCCATTAAAATGAGCAATTGTTTTGGTTGCTCTGGTCATAGCAAAAATAAAAATAAGAGATAGCTATCAGAAATTCTCATTAATTACAAATTTTCACTAACTACCTTGAAAACCCAACAGAATCAGCTAATAACATATTATGAAAAGTCAGTGCAGAGATTAAATATAAAACAGAATACCACAAATTAAATTTTCCCCATATATGTAGATTAAAACATTGGTGAGAGAGAGTATATCGGACTTTACAAGATTAACAAAACTTCAATATTCTAGGTACTTAATAAGAAACAGGAACAATCTGAAAAAAACACTTTAACAGAAATTAAGACTTTCTTTGATGGGCTTATTAGTAGAGTGAACGTGAATAGGAAAAAAATCAACAGGAACCTCCAAAACTAAAAAGCAAAGAGATCAAAAAGCAGCTGAGGGTAGGGGGCATATCCAGGGACTAACTATAAAAAGTGTAACATGCATATGGAACTATCAGAAAGAGGAAAAAAAAAGTGAAAGGCACTAAAAACAAAATTGAAGAAATAACTGACAATTTCCTCAAATTAATGTCAAGACACCAAATCATATAATCATATATCCAGGAAGCTCAAGGAACATTAAGCAATAAAAATTCCAAAAAAGTATACTTAGACACAACTGTTGAAAAAATTCTGGAAAGAAACCGGAGGAAGAAAACAGCTGACTCTAAGAGGAGCAAAGATAAAAATTACATGATTTTCCCTCACAAGCTAGAGCTGCAAGAGATTGGTATGAGATGTTTAAACTGGTGAAAAAAACACTGATCTAAATTTGGAAGAATAAAAGACCCAAGATAGCCAATGCAATATTGAGCATGAACACTGATGTAGGAGTAGAGAGAAAGAGGAAACACTGAAGAACAATACTGTCCAAATTGTATTGCTATATCGTGTGCTCGTATAGAGATGTAAACAATGAATCCCATTATATATAATTATAATGCACAACAAAAAACATGGGGAAAAAACTGAAGGAGAGAACGAAGGATTAAACTCAGAATTTTACCTAGTGTTCCAAGAGACTGAATCAAAACACAAGGTGTGCTGTCACATGTTAATGTAGTG